CGAAAAAATAGCCAGTCGAATTCCGGTGGAGTCGCAAAACCCATGTTCGCGATCAATGTAACATGTAACGTCAAGTACGGAAATGTGTGTGATGGATACAAATATTATCCGTAGAACACAGCATAATTTTGATAAAATTTTTTTCGATAATGGCCCAGAGATGACGCCGCGAATTCATTTTTGTGCGCGCAGATGTTTTAATGTCACCGTTAGATGGAGCTGGATGATCTATCGATCAAAGCGCGCTCATTTCATGTATTTAAAAAAGAAAAAAAGTGCAGTGAACAAGTGGTTTTTGATATATCAGAGATACCGGAATGTATAAAATGGTATGTAAATATATAAAATAATTTATTTATCAATTTTTATTTAATTAAACATTTTATTTCAAAACGAAATTTCACAAAAAATTGCTTCCACTTCGCGTATCGTTGGTCGCACCAATTAATTTATTTCGTTTACCAATGATATAGGGTTATGTATTACAAAATATATTTCTAATAAATTTATTTCCATGCTAAATAATTTTTGCTATATTCACAAATCGTAGTATTACCTATGAATATTTAAGATAATTATGTAAAGAGATATATTCTTTATGTATTCAGAGATTAGAAACCATTTATTAAAATGATATTAATTGATATATAAATGAGAGGGAGAGAGATAGTAATTGTTTAATATAAAAATATTGATGCTCTGATTTTTCCATATTAATTCGATAATAACACCACTGGTTATCATTAACTTGAATATCTGGTAAAAGAGACGCATTTTCGTCAAACGAAATACATAATGTATTAGACGCTACAAAATGATTACATAAAATTATTGGCAACTTTCGGGCTCGGAAAAGAGACGCGCGCTTCAACGACCAAGTAATATCACGCTGGAACTGTATTAAGAACATGAAATATGACCGAACGTACTCTCCTAACTTGCCGACCGTATTATTACACCAATCCATCGTGTCGTAACTACTGTAACGTGGCCTACATAGTAAATATTAAACATGTTGTTCGATTATACGCTCGCACATTGTGAAACTTGACGGATATATCGCATAGTGTTCAATTTAGAAGAGAGAGATAGAGAAAGAGAGAGAGAGAGAGAGAGTTCAAGAAGAATCATTGATGTATAAAATAATAGAAAAAAAATAGAAAAAAAATATAGGAAATATATAATAAGATAATATAAAAAAATTTGCGAAAATAGAAATGCGCTAATAGAAGTTTATCATTATCAGCAAAAATTTTTCCACATAATGCATTCTATCGTAATTTTATAACGATGCATTGTCTCATTACTTTGTTTGAAAATAACGATCTGTCAATTATTACCAAGTATGTCGGTGAGTATGGGGTACCGGAAAATTTCACTAAATCCCTACGGTATGGCCAAATATTTAGTTGGCGCGCATAGGACGCATACTTTCCGCGATATTATAAGCCGAGCTTGAGCTTCCACGACGTGCAACCATTGATCAAATAGTTGGTCTCAGTTGCGACCACAAGTGCTGGTATGTGTGAATGCGCGTGAATTGTTAAATCTTGCTGTCAAAATTTCGGTTTGCCGGCAAATCGATTGCAATATGCCCAACTGAAATGCCTAACGTTGCGATGAGAAATATTTCCGGTTATATCTTCGACGATACGGAAAAATATATGTCATGCAATATATTCTTAAAAAGAATCTCTTATACATTTATGATTATACGTTTGTAATATTAAATCTTTGTAGATCACCAAGTAAATTTGATTCTTTTACGACTTCTTTTTTTCTCATCTATTTCTTTTCTAAATATATCGCATTTATGGTAGCATAAAAAAATTTGGTGAATACATATATTAAATGATAATCTTACTTCAGTAATAATAATTTTATTACTTCCTACTCTCTCTTTGGATAGGTACTAATTTGTCTTATTTTAATAACGTTTTACCATTTTCAAATATATATAATAAACTGCGATCTCAATGTTGAAATTAAATTCGCGAGCACAAATTCTTAAAACGTGAAGTTTTAACGCACGTATACATCATAAAGATATAATATAAATTATAAAAGGTATGCTCTCTCTCTTTCTCTCTCGCAAATATTTAGATTTATATTCTCTTCCAAGAGAAAGAGAGAGAGAGAGAGAGAGAGAGAGAGAGAGAGAGAGAGAGAGAGAGAGAGAGAGAGAGAGAGAGAGAGAGAGAGAGAGAGAGAGAGAGAGAGAGAGAGAGAGAGAGAGAGAGAGAGAGAGAGAGAGAGAGAGAGAGAGAGAGAGAGAGAGAGAGAGAGAGAGAGAGAGAGAGAGAGAGAGAGAGAGAGAGAGAGAGAGAGAGAGAGAGAGAGAGAGAGAGAGAGAGAGAGAGAGAGAGAGAGAGAGAGAGAGAGAGAGAGAGAGAGAGAGAGAGAGAGAGAGAGAGAGAGAGAGAGAGAGAGAGAGAGAGAGAGAGAGAGAGAGAGAGAGAGAGAGAGAGAGAGAGAGAGAGAGAGAGAGAGAGAGAGAGAGAGAGAGAGAGAGAGAGAGAGAGAGAGAGAGAGAGAGAGAGAGAGAGAGAGAGAGAGAGAGAGAGAGAGAGAGAGAGAGAGAGAGAGAGAGAGAGAGAGAGAGAGAGAGAGAGAGAGAGAGAGAGAGAGAGAGAGAGAGAGAGAGAGAGAGAGAGAGAGAGAGAGAGAGAGAGAGAGAGAGAGAGAGAGAGAGAGAGAGAGAGAGAGAGAGAGAGAGAGAGAGAGAGAGAGAGAGAGAGAGAGAGAGAGAGAGAGAGAGAGAGAGAGAGAGAGAGAGAGAAGAAAAAGAGAGAGAGAGAGAGAGAGAGAGAGAGAGAGAGAGAGAGAGAGAGAGAGAGAGAGAAAGATGCAACTATGTCACGCAGCTCAGCTATTTTAGTCGGCGGTGATTAATTCCGGCGAGTTCTTTTCGCGTGTGTCCATGCGCCGCTTGAATTTCCTAAATTCACGGGCTGGTTTTGAGCCCGGGTCTCAGAATTCCTCGGCACTCGACATTTTAACAATTTGGCCCCTTCACCCTCCCCTCTCCCACCCCTCCCATCATAATTGCAACACAAGTATGATAATTATGCGTCTCCCCTTTAACAACGTCATTTCCTCTGTCATTGCTTCTTGTGATTTTCATATTTAGAGCGTCATCTCTTCTATCATACTACGCCATAAATTGGCTGCGTTTATTTTTTTTTTCTTTACGAGTAGAAGAATTACTCTCGATATTTTGGATCGCGATCGGAGAACCGTGTGCAGACTGCATTATGCAAAAAATCATACGCCCCCGTTGAATGAATAAATGTGTATTCCTGTCTCGTATACGCACTACACCCCTTGCCCTTTGTCCTTTACCCTTCGCCCAGTAAGCTTCGCGACAGCGCTCATACATAATTTATCGTCCGTAGAATCTGCGCGCTCTCAGCGATAAAACGTTTACTATAATCGGTATACATTGTTATCACTATCGACGCAGCAGTTGGGACTTGCGTAAACGTGCCCTCTAAATTTGTGTCTCTTGTCCAAGTATTGTTTTTATCATATTCTTAAATCTCGAAGAATATGAGGTTGTTATCTATTTTCCGTTTTTCACAAATAGATTTGCTTAAAATTGACTCAAGATATACGCCATTGAAATATGTCCAAGTAGAAAAATATCTTGGGAAAAACTAATTATGAGTTAGAAACTGCCCAGTTTTTACAATTTTGAATTTAGTAGACAATAACTAAAAGATTTATGACTGGGTAAAAAAGATCATGTTTAGATAAAGTTCTATTTAAATAACTACCTATGGATTAGTATATAGATAATCATTAATAATAGTAAAGATAATTTTTTATAATTTTTTATCTTAATCGATATCTGCAATAAGTCAATTTTATAAATATTTTTATTTCTTTAAAAATATAATAATTTCTTAATGAATAAAAATTATATGTTATTTTCTAGAGAGATTTTGGGAAAACCTAGATCAAAATTCTTTAGAAAAAGCTAATCACACACAAAAATTCCTTAGAAAAATTAGTTAAATTTACTGAAACAAGAGTCGATGACTAAGATGTAAACGGTAATACTGGTCAAATATTAATTAACAAGAATTAACTAGAATTCTTTGCCACTGGTCTTTACTGGTTATATACATTCTAGTTTATTTTCTTTTTGAATAATACTCTACATTAGAAAATAATATTGAATTGATAAAACTATATTGAAAATACTATATATTATACTGTCATCTAATCACCAGCAGCAATAAGTTACCGATAATGTTATCTTTATATTTTTATGGTATATATATCTAGGAAGTCTTGTCAAATCCGGAAAAAAGATATCATGCAGATATGAATTTGTTGAGAATTATCGCCTGTAACAAGAAGTTATGACATAAAACTGATCACTTTGACGTCTCTGTAAAACAACAGAGATGTTGATGGACGGTTGACGTCAGTAGGTTACACATCGGCTTGCCGCGAGTTAATTTTTCCAATGAATATTCGTTCGCACACAACGATGACAGCGTTGATACGGCGGTTATTTTGATTGAAATTGTGCGTGACGATTACAGTATCGTTGCAACACATGCAGCATGATTGCTGTCAGTTTTTATTATTGCGTCATTAACTCATCAGTAACGTTCAGTCAATATTTAATTACGTAAATATCTGTTTATAAACGCAACAAATTTTTTTTTTACGTATATAATGGAAAGAATATTTTAATAATTGATCAAAATTTTTAGATATAACATGTGTGCTCTCTTACATAAGTCTTTCTTTTTTTAGATTATCTTATATAAATGCGCTGTCTTTCAAAAATCTTTCTCCACAACTATAACGCGCAGGTCGTCGACTTTTGATATTATTTCCAATCTCGCACGTGTATTTAATGAGGCAACAGCTTATTACGAAATTCCATCGGTCATTGATTGCAACTTGCAGTGCGTGCATAGTTAATTAATCTTTTAATTTAATGCAGGTGGCGGGCGCATAAATTCTGCGATTTCTCAGCGGGAATGTCGGACGTGTTTCGATTATCGTGGAAATCTGGATTTGCGGTTCCAACGATTTCCATCAGAATCTGGACTGGCGGCTGACCACATTTGCGGTATTACTACTTGCCGAAAACACGGATTCTCCAAACCTTGACTACCTGTACCAAGAAGATATGTGTATTCATTTGAAACATTACACGACTATTAGGTATGTAATATTAATTTTATACATATAGAAATGTAACTGTTCAATCTTTTGCCTAGGTCACGTAAGTCTATTTTGTGCGTTCAATGAAGAATTTAGAATTTTAGATTAATTTTAGAGGGGGAAAGAAGGGGGGAGGAGTTGCAATCAAATTAATGTTTAATTAAACAAATATAAATATACGCAATATATATTTCACAAAGTTTATTTATATCTTTTTTGTCGATAAAAATTTTGATATGCTACTCGTAGCATACAGTTACATGACATCGATGTAATTGCACGCACATTATGGACGTAGTTCAAGTTTAAAGAAAACAATGTGCCATGTTCCAATAATAAATAAAAATATGTAAAATAGAATACCGACGATATACACGCTATATAGTTTGCTATGCTACGATAAACACAATTTTGTTGTAAAAATTCGAATACGCAAGCTATCTGTCCCGCTTTTATCGATTTGAGTAAAATGTATTGCGCGTGATCAAAATATTTTTTTTTTCAAATAAGTAAAGTGGACTAGCAATCATGATATACAATCAGGAAAAGGTTAAAAAAATAGAAATTCTTTGAACTAAATACATTTTTTATTTTATCTTGATTGCCGAGTCACACGATATATCATATATTAGAGTTCTCTTCATTGTTTATACATATATTGAATATTATATACTATGTGGACATTAAGCTTCATCATGATTATCTTTGCAAGTTATTTTCTCGTAATTAAAATAAGATCATATTCTATTAAACTGCGCTTTGCTGAACGTTAGCTACAAGTTAAAGTTTATTAATAAATGAATGGACAACAAATACAAAATTTAAAATTTTGTGGGAAATAAAAAAACTTTAGAAATAGCAATATTTTTGCAATAAATGCGTGTAGATTGCAATATTTCCAATATTTTTGCAATTTGCTTAAATTTGCAATTTAAAATTTTGAGAAATCAAAAATCTTTAAAAATTGCAATATTTTTACAATAAAGACAGATGACACTTCTCAAAATTGTAATGACATTAGAAAAGAAAAAATGCAGATTTATATTGGTCCTTTGACGCTGCTTTATCTTCCGCATTAAGAAATCGTTATTCCAATAAGGCGCTTTATCGTCACTAAATTCGCGCTACTCATCGCGGCTGCAATAATTAAAATATTATTTTGCGATAAAAAAAGGGGAGGAAAATGGAGCGATAAGCGTAACGAGCCCATCATCGACATAAAAGCGTTTCCATTTAATTACAATCGATCGCAGCAGGGATCGCCTTTGGCATCGACTCCGAGGGTGGGGAAGGGGGTGAGGGTCCGAGGGGAAGCGGTTTTATCGGCGGTCAGCCACGGTGGTTCGTACATCGGCGTTAAAACCACCACTCAAATTTGCAGAACTTTTTATTTGTCCCACCCGTTCCGACCTCTAACCGATCTCTCCTCTTTTCGGGGGCTTTTTGAGGGGCTTAAAATTTCACGGAGTTTTTCTTTCTATCTCTCCTCTTTCTTTCTTGTCCTTCTTCTTTCGCTTCGTCTCCGTCTCTTCCTTTCATTTGGTTAAGAGATTTCTTCTCGTTTGAGAATTCTCGGTAGGTCTCCGCATGATCTCTGCGAGAAGGCAACCAACAGAAAATGTTTGATCTACTTGATGCGATGTCTTTAACAGCTTTTCCTATTCTTTGATTCCCTTTTTTTCGAGCGCTCGATCCGACTTTTCCTCGTTATTTCGGATTTCGATCTTGCCGGCATTCTTTCTTCCTTTCAGTCCCGTCTCGGGATTTACTTTTGCGTTTCGTTGCATAGTTGTAAACCCAAATGGTTGCTTCAATCTTCAGTTCCTCAGAGGCCACCGAGAAGCACGCGAGATTCAATTTTATCTGACAAGAAGAATTTTTACTTGATAAGAAGAATTTTTACTCGCGCAAAAGTTCAGTAAGATTAAGGATGTATGTATCATATGTCGAAACATTGACAAAAACATGAAAATTTTATGGACTGTTCTACTATTTCTTCTGTGAGTATTTGTGCAAAACCTGAACACAATTCTCTTAATGGTTTGGAAATTATTTAAATTTAAAGTTAGTATATTGATTTTTATGGAAGATCGCGTATTGTAGCACTTATTGACAAATTTGACAAGGAAAAAACATGGTCAACGAAGTTAAAATTTTCACATATATTAAGAAAATTCTTAATATATTTGTGCAAAACTTGATTTAGATCCACTTACTCGTTTAAAAGAGATTTACTAAAAATTGTAGAAAAATATTATCTTTCTTTTTCTCTCTTTCTGCAAATTATTCGGTTTTTTTTTTGTTTCTTGCAGTTGATTTCAGGGGGTATTCACGATCAAAAGTTTTTGTCATAAATTAGGAAAAATATTAATTACAACTATTTGCTTTTACGAAGACGTTAAAAACCATATTATTTTGTGACACTTTAATTTTTTTTATAATCCGGATCTTTTTATTTGATTTTTCAAACAGTATAAATGTAAGAAATATGTTTTTTTTTAAGTTTGACAATTTGTTGCTACTATTGTACAACACATCCTTAATAGAAATAGCTGAAGAGAACCTTATATTTCCGATCCATATCTAAAAAAAGAAAACAAAAAACAATATTCTGTGTTTTAGAAAGATTTGTAAAATGATTGATATATAAAGAAAGCATAACTAAAATTATGTAGAATTCGACGTTATGATAGATTCAGACACAATGGATTTGTCTGCCTCGCGGTTACGCTTCATCGTTCCTCGCAGCTTCTTGCGTGCGCTCGTTTGTCATTTTTTGAGCAAAGTTCATTGCTTCCCGGACCATCGGACGTGAGCTATAAAAAATGTAAGAAAAAGAGAGAGGAAGGAACGACGGGGTAAGAAGAAGGTGGGAGAAACACTTTGAAGCTGGAGCGAAACTTTGGAGCTGGCGTTATTGATGTCTTCGGAAGACGTGTGCAAGTGAGAGGGATGGGGGCGGCGAAAAGGGGAAGGGGGAAGTAGGGTAGGTCGGAGGGGTAATCCTAAGAGCAGTCTGAAAGGTTAAATGAGAAATACTTTTCGATCGGGTAGCAGTAGCAGCAGCCCCCGTAGACTCGCTGGCTAGGCTTAAGACTTCATATAACGCCTCTGATCCTCGACATCCTAACCGGGAGTTGAGATTTCGACGCTTTTATTACGTAACTGCCGATTCTTCTCGGACCCGTTCAAATGATCTAACTTCTGTTATTTCTGTATACGAATGCGAAATTTCGCCGACTTGAGAAGATGAAAGTATATTACATGTACAAAAGTATTCTGAATATATATATATATATATATATATAT